TGGCGGGAAATTCACTGCATTCAAGATTGGCTGACGCTCAGCAGATGAAGTAGCGGAAGGAGACTTTCCATTACTACCGTTCACCTGCTTTTCAGGCTTTATACGCTTATCTTTGTTGTTTCGACTTGAAGAACCTCCCCGCTGATCAAAGCTATTGCTTTTAAAACGAGGCTCCTTTTGTTGCTGTTGTACACCCGTGCTGACTGATCGATTTAGACGATTGTGCCCACGGCCAGTTACACCAACGCCACGCTGATTATTGCCAGAATACCGTCCATTATCTGAGCTATTGTTGTAGCTGTAATGAGGAGCTGATCGCGGATTTCCTGAATTGTATTGGACGCCGTAGTTATCGTAATAGCCTGCAATAGGCGAAGCGTAGTAACCGCGGCCGCCATACGGCACACCCACGCTAGGAGCAATGACATTCTCTGCGGGCTGTGTAGGATAAAATGATTTGAGTATGTTCTCAGATTTAAGACGAGCCTTTATCGCAGCGCCGTTTAAAGTTTTGCTGCGTAGGGCCAATAGAGTATCCACCGCCTCTGCCTCCGAGCTCATAGTTATAAACCATGTGTCACCGACATCGCTGCGCACACCAATGACTTTGCCGCAATCTTTAAAAATGGCTTCAACCTCTTCAGGCTTGGTTGAAGACGGAATCTCACGCAAAATTATGGTCGTGCGCTCAGATTTGATGTTGGGTTTGATCGCGTCTTTAGAAGAGCTAAGAGAACATACCTACAATGACGAATTACGTGGAACCATTAATCTCAGATAAATCGACTCCACACTGAAAGGTAACGCACCGTAGAATCCTGTACAGCTTCAACTAGCAGCATCGTGTTGTCCGTCAGCTGCTTGATTTTTGAAAAGTTGATGATGACTTCCACGGGCACATACCTAACAACAGGCATTAAAATAAAAGACATTCAACCTAGCGCTAGACTGAGAGACTGTCAGACGCACATTTGTGAGTTCATTTGCGATACAAGGTAGGCGTCATTGGCTAGATTGGAACGTGAGAAGTAGAACTCCACCTGACGTTTAATGGCTTCCTTGAGCTCCGCTCCCTCTATATAGAAATGCACGTGTCAGTAGCGTTACCTTTTTCATTAAGTCTGCGCTATGCCTAAGTACGCACCTAGAGCCTTTACTGGCTGGTCACTCATCAATGTGATCTGATTTACGGTGCGTAAGAACAATGGTACGCTACGTCCGATTGGTCTGTATGGGTCTAGATGAGAATGGATGGCGAAGGCGATTTTGACGTGTCAGTCTATTATGTAGGCACACCTGATAATCTCCCTTAAAAAATAATAATTATCATTTACTGAAACTGTAGCGCGTTCTTGTCAATCAATCATTGTCACTGGGACATGTGGACGCATCCTCATTTATTGAGAAAAGTGCAGTGCTGACTGACATGCCGCGCTATGCATCTCGATTTTGATAATGTTGTAAGCATTTAAGGAACGTCAGTGCTGCTTCAATGTCAAATTATGTGAGGTAAATAGAATGAAGATACATCAAACAATACAAAAACTGATAATACTCATATAATTTAAATAACCTCTTGTACATTACTGTTTCCTTATAAAGGATGTATTACCGATTACCCACATACACGGCACATTTTGCACACCAAAATTGCTTACACTTGAGATAATGGTATTAGCCGCAGTTGCAGCTAGATTCTAGAATGCAAAGGACTTACCAGATTGTCCAACGCCTGCCATGTCAGGAGCTTTTTAAATCGTACATTTGTATAATCTTTAACAAGTTAGTATTAAGAATTGACATGTAATTATTTCTAGCATTATTACACTCTTTGTTCGATTATGTACGTCATATGGAGAAGCAGTAAGAAAGAACAATGTGGAGTTTGTCGCTGTTAACAAACTACAGACACACGTGGCTGAAGTCGAAGGATATGCTTCTATGTCAGGATGGGCACGATCCTAAATATCTCAAAAATTAAAACCTGAGCGATAATCAGATGATCCAACGGACATATTAGCTCGATACTCCCAATCGAAGTTTCTGTGAGGTGATTGTCGTGATTCCAGAGCAAGAGCAAGCTGCATTCGCCATTAAGAGACTGCGATTCAAGGAAATGAGTTTTGAGACTGTATCGCAAGTCCTTGGACGCTCAGCGCAGAACTTCAAATCCGGCGGGAAATGGTGTTCCTATAATGAATCTCTCAGGTTGAGGGAAATGCTTTTCCAAGTAGGTTGGGATGACTAAAAGTTGACCCAAGTCACAACACTAGATTTTGGCAAACACAATAGGCCGAAGCGTGTAGTTATCATGCACTTTACTTCAATAAAGCTCGAGCTGCGTTAACTTGATATATAGAGCGGAACCGGGATTAAATTAGTGACCATTCGAGCTGCAAACGAAGAGCTTTAATAGTGTCAAAACACAATCTTTCATTTTCAGGTACCAATTGTGCGTGATTATCGAGTGCGCGACTTCGGAACCGTACGAGTTACCGTCGAGACACCATCAACGAATTTAGTCCGAAAGACTACGTTTGCGTTGTTAAACATACCCTCCTTCAGTGAAACCACGACAAACTGTGAGTGCGAGAAGTGCGATCGGATCATCTGACCAATATTTTGAGTGTGCGATAAATCCAGCGCTGCATCAACTTCGTCAAGAATGTACATTGGCGCAGGCTTAAATAGCAACAACGATAAAATCAGTGACAGCGCGAGCAGTGAACGCTGACCACCACTAAGCTCCGTCAAACTTTCTTTCCAAACACCACCGAACGAGACGCGCACTTGAAGTCCATCAAGAATTGTTCCTGATTCGAAAAGAAATCAACACGTCAATAACAGCTAGCTGTGATAGTCGAATAGATGACAGCTTACCGTTTTTGGGCGGGTCCAACTTTGCGTGCGTTCCGGGCAGCAACGTCCCAAAAATCGAGCCAAAATCCTTGTTGACCTTTACCCACGTTGTCTTCAGAGCCTCATTTTTCTTTGCATCAAGTTCTTTGATGACCGACGTAATTTTTTCTTTATCATTTTCGATGATGTGACGCTTGTTCATCAGACCCTGATATTCCTGCTCAGCCTTTTCAATCATACCCATGACTTTTTTGTTGATTTTCTTCGATAATACACCCTGTGTTTCTTTAAGTTCTAACAAACGCCGATTCGCCATCGAGGGATCTTTCCGTTTGAAGTCATAATCTGTATGTTCGCGGCCGAAAAATTCCTTCTCAGTATCAATCCATGGATGCGCCTTTTCCAATTTCTTGACCGTCAACTTGGCATCGTTTTCGTCCTTTTCCATTCGAGAAATTTTATGCTCTGCCTTCTTGCGCTCGATCTCCAGATCACTTTTCTTGTTGGAAAGAGCACTCTGACGGGCACTGAGCTCTTTCAGCTGCTGGTCGTTAAGACTAAGGTCGCTCCTTCGCTTCTCAAGCTTTTGCGACGCCTTCTCATACGTTTCCTGAATTTGTGCAAGTTTATCCTCAACCTTCTTCTCCTCTTTGCGAAGAGCCGCAAGTTCGTTCTGAATATTCGCCACGCTTTCGTTATTGCCTGCAAGTTCTTGTTCAGCAGATTCCAACTCTAAAACCAGCTCAGACAGTTCCTGCTGAACAGCTTTAAGTTGTGCACTAATACTTTGAGCCTCTTTCTTCGCCTCCACAAATCGCTTCTCTAGCACGCCAATCTTGGACTGGCGTGAATCTTTTAAATTTGTGATGTCAGCATCCAGATCCTTGACTTCTCTCGACAGATGAGTTACAGCTTTCTTTTTTGTGACTAATAGCTCTTTGTCCTTTGCGTACTGGTCTTCTGACGAAGCAACCTCGCGCTCTAATTGCGCAAAAACACTGGCAGCAATACGCTCATCGAGCAAGCTTAGCTCGTGCTTCTTCAGCTCTATTTGGTGTTTAAGCTGACGAAAGTGACCAGACTCCTGAATGAAAAATTTATTAAGGTTAGCACGTAACGCAAGCAATGACAGTTTATCATACCTGTTTCATGTTATCCAGGGAACGAGAGCAATCTTGGTACTCATGACGCATGTCGCTGAGCTCGCGCGTGCGATTTATAAGCTGGTGAAGCTTTAAAAGAATAGGCGTGCCGCTAGATGGGGCAGAACCACCTTGAAGAGTACCAGCTGGATCATAGGAATCGCCATCAAGAGTCACGGTTCTAATTTTGATTTCCCGATGAAAAGTGATATTTTTGGCAAGCTCGCTTGTATCACAAATGATCGAAGAGCCGAATGCGTACTCCATTGCTGGCAAAAGCTCTGGCTTGAATTGAATCAATTCCATTGCTTCCCAGACCTTGCCACCTTGTTGATGGGCAACCTGTCTAGCCTTGTCCATCTTGCGACGATCCACAGTCTGACGCGAAATACGGTTAAGTGGGATAATTGTGACGCGGTTCATGAGACGACCAAATTTGAGGATGTCTTTGGCAGTCTTCTCATTGTCCACCACTATCTGATATAGCTTTCCTCCTGCTGCAATCTCAAGAGCAAGCGCGGACCACTCGTGTTTTGTCTCAAGGAGATTAGCCAGCACACCCATTACGCTTTCCCGGTGGAAATTGCGGTACGGATCTGTATACTTAAAATCTAGTCGGGATGACAGACCTGATGATATCTCATCCACTTCTCTCTCAGCTCGAAGGATATGTTCTTGAAGTTCTTGAACGCGTTTATGTAGGCCACTTTCTTCATCCGGATTAAAATTTATCGTGACTTGGTCGACCTTGGCTCGCATATGCTCGAGCTCGTTTAATTTGTGTTTACGCTCCTCATCCATGCTGCGATTGTTAATGCGCGTCTGCTCAATCTCGCGGCGCTTGTGTTTGATGCTTTCTTCCATGTGCTTTAATCTCAAATTGATTTGCTTTATCGCAGTGTTGTTTTCCTGCAACTCACGCTGCTTTGATGCTAGACGCTCCGATAAAGATTCATCGTTATCTCCACTTTGCTCCATACCAGCATTTAAAGCCTGAATTTGACGCTGGTATGCGTTTGCCGCTGCCTCTTTGGTGATAAAAGATTCTTCGACCTCATTCACCTTCATCTTCGCCTTTTCAATATTGCGCGCAAGTTTGGCCATGGCCTGTTCAGTCTCTGCTGCCTGCTCATTCATACCAGACTCAGCATTTACTTGTTGTTCGATCGAAGCTTTGCAGTGTTTCAACTTAGTCGTGAACTTGACAACCTCTTTACCAATTTTCTCGACATTTTCTTTTAGCTGCTGAAACTCTTTGCCCATTTTCTTTTCGCGCTGTTCGTGTAGTGCGTCAATTTCACCACTAATCTGCTCAATCTCCTGTTCAATTTGAACTTCCTGCTCTTTTGCTGCACGTTGGTCTTGCTGCATCTTTTCGACGTGGTGCGCCGTATTCATCAGTGCGTCTTGTGCATTTTGGTATTCGTTTGCCACACAAAATCTCTGTAACCTTTCCATCTCTGTGTTGTTGGCCGCCCATTTTAGATAGTGGGTCTTCTCAGCTCGAAGTTTCTCGAGTGTTGGCGTGATCTCATTGGCCAAGATACTATTGATCTCATCTACTTTCTTCTCCTTCTTTGTCATCGTTTTTAGAGCCGCAATTTTTTTGTTCTCGTACATTCGAGTGCCAGCAGCTTCCTCGATCATACCGAGGATCTCGGGTGGCTTCATATTAAGCACTTTGGTGATACGGCCCTGCATGATAAGGAAGTGCGGGTTGTTCACGTTAAGCTGTACAGAGTGGAAAAGGTTCTGAACTTGGCTGACTTGGGCCGTGTGGCCATTGATCAAATACTTATTCCTCCCACCGATCACGACCTGGCGGGCGACCGAGATCTGCTCATACTGATCGTACCCCACAGGCGAAGCTTTCGCGTCCTGATTATTAAACACGATGGTTACGCTGGCCTTAGTGACACCTGCTTGTCCCTGCTTATACACTAGCTCTTGTAGATTGTTAGCGCGCACTTGGGATAAATTGGTGATGCCCAGCACGAAGCAAATGGCATCCAGCACATTTGACTTGCCACTACCATTCAATCCTGTGATGGCGTTAAAGCGAGGGTCAAAACCACTTACAACCGTGCGCGTCGCGTACGACTTAAAGCCATCCAAAATAATCTCCTCGATGTGCATTGCGGTGCGTAATTAAAGCTTATTGAACTCGGATGGAGTGCGCGCGCAAAGTAAACCAGACAAGGTATTTAAATGAGATCAATTCTTTAAATTACGAAAACAAGCTTAAAAGAGTGATGGTTACGTTGAAGCTACCGCACCTTTACCATGTCGACGGATTATGAGGCTCGCATGGAGATTCTGCAGCGCAAGCGCGAGGACCTGTGAGCCCCTTCGACGTCTCCTATTTTATATCACAACGTCATATCTACAAAGCTTACGACACTGTTGTTGGCAGGACAGCGCAGCGACAGGCAATAGAGAAGCGCATGGCGCTGCATGAGGCGACTGCTGTTGAGTTTAGCACCGTCGCGGTGCAGAGTTTACGAAAAAAGTGCAAGGCACAACGTAGCGCTGCTTTTGCTGCTAAGAAGCGTAACGATGACTTTGTGCGCACGCTACATGAAACGCAAAAGCAGGTACACGACACGTGGAGTAAGCTGCAAAGCGACCACTCGGGCAGCAGTGCACTGCTGGCCAAAGAGAAAAAAAGATACAATTGCCGAATAGAGCAGGTTTATCCTGCTTGGCAGAAACAGTTGCATCGACAGCGTGTACAGAAACTTAAGGAGCTAGAGGACAAGAAGAGAACGGTGGAAAGACGCAGATATCTCGCCAAGAAGGTCAAGAGGCTGATGCTTCGTCGCATGATGCGTTGCTGACATAAGTGTTTTGACCTGGCAGAGTTTTGAAAAGGAGCAGATGATAGATGACTTGCTTAAAGAAACGGTTCGACTGTTGATTTGCAATGATCGTTTCTTTCAACAAATTACATACGAGACATCTTCTATATTGTAGCGACACGAAGTGGAATTGGCTGAAAATTTAGAGCACAATGAGCACTACGAGCGAATACTTCTGCGCACGAAAAGTACAAACCAAGGTAATGGTATAGTTTTCTTTATACATGTCCTAGGATTGAATGATTTACGTGCGTGTAGCCATTGAGGTTGAACATAATATTCAAGAAATGGCTCAGGAAGCGCGAAGTATTCTGCAGCAACACGCGGAAAGATATTTTGAGACAGCGCCGGAGATAGTCAGAGGGCTATCAGGTACTGGTCCCGAGTTACTATATAATTTTTTTACACTCACGCAACATGATGCAGAAAAGTTAACCGAGACATTTTCGCCTCGAAATACCTTACGCGCTTTGCAGGAAGGCGGCAGGTTCGTGCACCATAACATTTGCGCAATATTTACTTTTCATCATGACGAAAAATTGTATATTTAGTTTCTTCGAGCTCGAAAAAAGGCACTCGTACGAAGACAATGACTTCACACAGCAACAAAAGTTCGAAATTGCAGCAAATTCAGATGTCACGGATGCGGTGCAATCAAATTACGATGGTTTTGAGCTAAAAGCTCATGAAAAATATTTCGAAGACAGCTTTATTGAACCCTTATGCAATTTTGACGAAAGATCGGCATTTCTTGATTCAGCTGCGACAGTCAGCCACAATTCATACACAGAAATTAGTCATAAGTACTCAGATCAAAGCATACATGATGCTGGACATAGTGAAGTATCTCGGGCTGTAGCCGCAAAGTCGACTGATCACGATTGCCCACTTGTTGATACTATCTCAAAAGATTTGTGTGCAGATACTCAACGCTTAGGTACAAAGAATAATCTCGCTTCCAGTACGACACATGACAAAGACATCAGACAGCCATGCGAAATATTGAAAAAGGTACCTACCTTGGTTGCCGAAGCTTTGTCAACAATTCCTGAAGATGACGAGACGATCTTCTCAAGCAGAGCAGATAGAATGGTACGACATGAAGAGATTGCGCATCAGCGTGAGCTTAGGGGTTCTGATGTTGCAACAAGCTCCGCGGCGACGTCCCACATTCCTGTGAATATTTCGAAATTCATCCAAGAGTTGCCTGCGGTCAGCACTCCAGCCAACATTGCCGAGGAGTCAAAGTCAGGGTACTCGGCTATGCTCGTCGCATCGACATTTCATATTGAGGACAACCGTGACGACATAAATCAAGATGAAGCTGAAAGCTTAAAGATCATATCGATTGGCAACCCATATCACGATAAAGCAGCTGAGAATTCAAATGAGACACCGTTGCCGATATCAAATGATGACTCTTGTTGCAAAGCAGAAGATAAAATTTCTCCCTTGGAGCCTGAAGTGAAGGAGCATATTTGTGCTCTAAAAAAAGGCAGTGTCAGTAGTCAAATTGAATTTGATGCATCCAGCAACACCGACGTGCTTGCTATCGTAGATTTTACAGGTCCTCTTTCGATCGAAGAGACCCCGAGAGTAGCCAACAAATGCATCGTGGATATTAAGCCTGTTGCCTTGGATATTTTGATGAGTGAACACATGTCTGATCTAATATCCCACCACGACAAAGCCGGCTCATTCCATGATCCGAAAGAGTTGAGCAATATCGCGACGGCCAAATCTTCTTCTGATTCCATTCAGACTCTAGCTACGATAGAAAAAAGCTTCTCCGAAATAGCTTCGGAAGAAGCAATTAAATCATTGCCGCCGCCGGGCTCAAACATCAAAGAATTCGTGGAACCAGTTTTACTATCAGCTGCAATGCCAGCCACAACACAGCATACTAGGGATAACATTGTGTTGTCTAGCAAGCAAAGTGACGACTATGATTTACCTAGCTGTACAACTGTTGATCCAACCATTCCGTGCAGCAACAATAAAGTTGAGCAAGATGATCCAGGAGCGGCTGTGAGCCCAATCGAAGACCTTCAGCGTATTCGGGAGGCTCCTAGCATAACGAAAGGAGAGGTATGTCGACAACCTTGTAGGTAATGTTGACAAATGCGCTAATCAAGCCATTGTGACAGAAACACTCATACGCCTCGATAACTGAAAAATTGTCGCCGGTGGATCGAATGAAAGCATTAGAAGCTCTAATAAGCCGAGTTGAGGAAGGTGTGGCTGAAGGAGACAACATATACGGCTCGAGAGAAATCGAATCATCCTACGATTCGAAACGGGAGCTGATGAGGTATGCGTTCAAATCCTTTGTTTAGTGACACAAACAAATACTTATGCCTGTGCGTAGAATGGCAATTGGGGGACACAAGGCGCAAATTGCCTATTTTGGTTCCGACATTTGTTTCGAGCTAATACTAGAAATTTCACGCGACCTTGGGCCAGGTGAGTCACACCCATGTCTTGTATGATTATACCAACACTTGTGGAGTTGTAGTGCTTTTTCCATTCAAATCGTTCGAGGGGATCATGAATGATCAAAAGATGCGCAAATTGCATCAGAGTAACAAGGACAAGCAATTGGGTGAGAGATTTCATCTTCATGAGAAAACATTTACAGCCTTTACTAATCATGTGACGGCATTAAAGACTTGTGGAAAGCATTATCGCATCATTTTAAGCAACTTGTGGAGCTGAAAGCAATATCCGTGGCGACTCTTGTTGATTTGTCGGTAGCAGCTTTTCTCGCCCATGATCTTGAAAATCAGCGGTCTCAGCGCAAGGTATCCAAAACTAGGGTAGCTGCTACACTATTGTGTCCGATGTCCTAATTTCATGCACCACAGCTCCGTGAATTTTTGACAGCAACATTGGAAGGAGGTGGTGGCAACGAGGCCTCAAGCCTTCGAAAAATGACCTCTGCCATCCCTGAAAAACTGTCATTCTCATCATGGCAAGAGCAACAGAAACCCGTTCCAGAGCCTTTAAAACCCGATAAGGCACAAGGCAAGGTTAGTACCTCGCAGCTGCTACAAACAGCGTTCCTACATCAACAAAGCGCACCAAAAAGCAAAGTTTTTGGCATTGCATCATCAAGGTATGTCTGAGTAAATGTTAAGACGATTTATTTGCTTCCCGCATTGACATTTGTTTAACCCACAGCTTGAAAGAACATTCGAAGTTCTCCTCTGACGTACTAATGTCCATGAGCTCCAGACCCATGAAGCTTTCTGAAAAGGTGTGTAGGTTGCTCATGATGCGCAGATGACTCACACAAATTATATTTGCGATCAGCTGATGCGTGGTGGTAAGATTGACGATTACTCCGAGTTTGAAGAGGAAGAAGAGGTGGACCTGCAAAACCTTATCGGCACAAAGCCCGTACTTGCCACAACCTTGCCAAAGGAAAGTAAGCCAGACCAACAGGCTACAATGCCTCAAGTAAAGAGATCGATGGAGAAGGTTGCAGTCGTTGAAGGGGTGGACGATGATTTTGATGCCGACTTTTAATAGCAAAGTGTAACTTAAAATATACCTGTATGTTACGATTTCCTGCTACATCAGCTATATCTACTTGTAATATAGCTTCTCGTGTCGTTTTTGTATTAGTATATGTATAGACACTTCTTTACCTTGATATTTGTATCGATCCACCAAGGGGTGATACGTGTCGCGCTCTGCTCCTCCGGCGGACGATCTCTCATTCTTGAAAGAAATTCGAAGTAATAAGTAGGTTGAAATCAAGATGCGTTTTTTGCACCTGATCAGACCTGTCATGTGCGTGCTGCCCGAAGTGGCGCATCCTGATCGCAAGATTCCTTTCCGAGAGAAAGTTTTGTGGACGATCATCACGCTCTTCATCTTCCTCGTATGCTGCCAGATTCCACTTTACGGCATCCAGACGTCTAAGTCGTCGGACCCGCTTTATTGGATGCGTGTGATCCTGGCCTCGAATCGTGGAACGCTAATGGAGCTAGGAATTAGTCCTATCGTGACCTCCGGTCTTGTGATGCAGCTCCTTGCTGGCTCCAAGATGATTGAAGTTGACCAATCGCTTAAAGAGGATCGTGCGTTGTTTAGTGGAGCGCAAAAGCTGTTTGGCATTCTCATAACCCTTGGTGAGGCTGTAGCCTACGTCGTCTCTGGTATGTACGGCAATATCTCGGACATTGGCGCTTTCAACGCAATTCTTATCATCCTGCAGCTGCTTTGCGCTGGTGTACTCGTCATTATTCTTGACGAGATGCTGCAAAAAGGCTACGGACTAGGATCGGGTATTTCGCTCTTTATCGCCACTAACATTTGCGAGAACATCGTCTGGAAGGCTTTCTCTCCTACGACCATTAACACTGGACGTGGTACTGAGTTTGAGGGTGCTATCATCGCTCTTTTTCACCTGTTGATCACTCGTTCAGACAAGCTGCGCGCACTTAAAGAAGCCTTTTATCGTCAAAACCTGCCAAACATTACCAATCTTTTGGCCACAATGTTTGTATTTGTCGTCGTCATTTACTTCCAAGGCTTCCGTGTCGACCTGCCGGTTAAGTACCAAAAGCTTCGCGGCCAACAGGGCACGTACCCCATTAAGCTCTTTTACACGTCAAACATGCCCATCATCTTGCAGACCGCGCTAGTATCTAACCTGTATTTCATCTCGCAATTGCTCTACAGGAAGTTTAGCGGCAACTTTCTCGTACGTCTACTTGGTGTATGGCAAGACATGGAAGGTGGTGCCGGTCAGACTGTGCCTGTCGGTGGTGCTGCATACTACATGTCGGCTCCCCATAACTTGGCTCAAATTTTGTACGACCCGATTCGTTTTGTCATCTACGTCATCTTTATTCTTGGTTCGTGTGCGCTCTTCTCGAAGACTTGGATTGAAATTTCGGGCTCGTCAGCTCGTGATGTTGCCAAGCAGCTTCGTGACCAACAAATGGTAATGAAGGGCCATCGTGACTCGTCTATCGTGCACGTACTAAACCGCTACATTCCTACGGCAGCAGCTTTTGGTGGTATGTGTATTGGCGCACTTACAATGGTTGCTGACCTTCTCGGCGCCATTGGTTCTGGTACTGGAATTTTGCTGGCCGTGACTATCATTTATCAGTACTTTGAGACGTTTGCTCGGGAGCAGGCTGAGATGCCACTTAGTGGTTTGTTTGGCTTCTAAGTATCTCGCTTCGGCGAGTGCTTAATGCAATAAAATACTCAAAAATATATCTTGCACTCTGCCCAGCTTGCCAAAAGTGACGACTTCAACATTGAAAAGAGACAAAACGAAAGATTTTCCAACAGGTTGTTCCCGTTCAAGGAGTATTATCAGGTGCTCTTTGCTGACTTTAATAGAATTTGGTTAGGATCATCAGCAAAAGCTGAGTGAGTGAGATTTTAGGCACATTCCCGCTGCTTTTTTCGGAAACGAACGAGACAGACGATATCTCCCTCATTCTTAGGTGCGCGATGGAGAGTCGATTTCTTTATTCTTTTTAAAGCATTTGAGGTTTAGTCTACCGAGGAGCTCGCCTGAATGGAGTTGCATTTTATATACAAGAGTTGGCTTTACCTTTACAATTTTTGCAAAGCTTTTGATAAAGTCACAGATGTATTGACTAACTTTTCAATGGAATGATATAGGATTCGGAGTTGTTATTGTGAGTGTTAAGTGCCGACAAAAGCTTGCAGCCAGTCGTTGGTGCTCCAGTATATCCAGAGCTAAGGCCCGTGCTCGGCGGTCTGAATGCAAGAGATCCTGATTAAGGCTGAGAAGTAGTTATGAATTTAAAGCAATCACACTAGATCTGCCTGAACTGCAATGAACGAGAATTTATCCCTTCACGTGTGTCACGTTAATCTACCAATTTGTTATGTAAACAAACGTCTTTTAAAAAGTGTTATTTATGATTTTACGCCATCGTAAAATTGATCCGACGTCGATACAATTTGCTACCGACTTATCACAAAGCTCGTCGATTGGGGTGCGCAGGAGGGCGACTGTATTGACGTGACGTGCTTGATGTGCTGTCGGCCGAGTCTTCTGAACAGTCGTTGTGAAAGCTGCTGCTGTTCGTAAAAGAGCTACTGGAACCGACGAGAGTGCCATCACCATACTGCACAAAAGCGCTTGAGCTGCTGAAACTGCTGGTATCGTTTCCACTATCACGACTTCGATTGAGCTGCTTCGCCTTCGCGCCAGCTTTTAATGTTTTGTACCACTTATCATATTTAGCAATGCGATCATCCTGTCCCAAGAATCAACTCAGTCATATCAAGCTGACAGCAATAAACGGTAACCAGCTGGTTTATACCTTAATTTTCGCTTCTTCCGTCAGTCTGGCAATCGTTTCCTCTTGCATCTTTATTCTGCTTTCCAAATTACCACTAATGATGGTAATATGAGCAGGCTAACAAGGTGCGAATAATTCTACAGAATTTCACTTACCCAATTGCCGTGTTGTTGGTCTGCTGTGCTTGAGCGACAACATTTTGCTGTCGCCGCCACTCTTCAAGAGCCCTTTTGATCATTACGAGCTAAAAGGAAGATGCGTGATGCTATGGCGTTAAAAATATAATTCAAGCCGACAGACCTTCTGATTGTAATCTTTTTTGAAAATTTCCATAAGTTCACGAATCTTGAGATTCTCAGCTTGTACATTTGTCATCGCCTCACACTCCTATGTGACATATGACAGCACCTCCACGGTTATACAACAGCATACACACTCAAAGCGTTGAACTTACTTTCACGAGCTTAGTATTCTCGCTACTTAGAGCCTTTACCGAGTTTAAAAGCCGAACGATCTCCAATTTTTGGTTCGACACAGTCTCCAGTAAGCTTTCATAGTCTCTTTGAGCTTCGCCTAGCCTTTCACCGCTTCCTAACGATGTCTGGCCGTCTTGACCCCGCTGGGATGTATAATTGTTTCCATCTTTTAGAGTATTACTGAGACTTCGCGCATCGACAGGTGCTTTACTGCCAAGCTGCTGCTCTATAAGCCTAAGGTTTACAAAGAGCATTAGATTCATACGCAGGGCAGGAGCTCCCACATCATGGTGGACCGTTGTCGTTGATTCCTCATCCTAGACGCCACCGCTGCCCTGAGCGTCGAACCCCCATCCACGGCAGTCGCCACCACTCCAATCGTTTTTCTTTCATCACAAAACTACCTTTATGAGCATTTAACTCGTTGATATATTCCGTCAAACTCCAGGCCGCACCTCCCCTTTGCCGGCAGCAGACAAAATGAATCACCCAACGACGACGATAAATGCCGCGACGACATCAGCACGTTCTATATCGTTTCAGCATCAGCAAAACTTTTCGAATCTTTGATCTTGTCTAGTTTACCTTGTCTGTCGAATCGGGACTCGTCAGTCCAATCTCATTCAATCGCCTCCAAAGCTCCTCTATCTCCGCAGCCGCAACGTTTAGCTGTGTCTCGGTCCTCTGTGCATCTAGCGGGTCGGAAATCTCCACATCTAATTCTTGCTGTTGTTCCAATGTTCGTTCTTTTTCATCCTCCGTTTGATGTTCTTTGACCGTATCTTCCGTTTTCACCGGGCAAGGATTTCTAGCTCGCGCCACTTTGGCCCTGTACTCGTAGTTTTCGGCCAACAGCATCAGTGCATCAATTGTACGCTTGTCTGATACACATTGTGCCGCCTGCAAAAACTTTTCGCTTGCCAAATGACCCTCCTTCTCTGCTTGAATGTACTGCATAAAGTGTGATCGTCATCTTATTCAGAAATTGCGGGATTTATTGGTCAAAAAAATTTATTAACTCGTACATCATCGTGACGCAAGGCTTTTTCGGCACGTACAGCATGGAAATGCGCCTGCACAGCGGGCGACGAGCTCCCGTACTCTTCTGACTCTACGGCTTTCCATCCCATTGTTGTAATGTAGACTACTTCATATTACCGGTATGTTTGAGCATACTTTTTTACAGCGATTTTATTGATATAAATCTCTACTCGAGAAGCCACTTTGTGTCAGATAGGACTCCACTTTATAAAAGATTTGTATAGTACTAGCTTCCCTGGGAGAAGTACAGCGCTATCTCGATGGGCATATAATGCTGTAGATCCGAATGCATGATTTACATTTCTTATCCTTACGCCAGCGCTATATTGAGCAAATTCAAGACATTTTTGTGGAGAATCAAACATGTTCACGTCCACATATATGATGTGCAATCTATTGTATTTCAAAAAAGGTGCTTTTTGCTAGAGATAACGAAGTATGCGTCCTCGGTCGTGCAGTTCACCCTCGATTTGCAAAAATAGTTCTAATGATGACAAGAACAGGAAGAAAACTACGGGGTATTTTCAGCATAACTCCCCCGGGTAATGCGATATTCATTGCTGATTGTAAAAGTGACTCTTTATGCTCTATGTGAAAGAAGGTGACATCGAGGATTTACTCTGTTTGCCAGCAACAGACTGACGCAATGTGAATGACGGAAACCCTGATGTTAAGCAAACTGATCCCAGTACATCGCATGCGAGATACAAATTCACAACTAAAATTATAAATTCCTTCCTGTCAATCCTAAACACGCTATACCCTTATAAGTTTATAAGATAAATACTGATAAAATGTGGCATTCAGGAAAATATAGAAATTCGAAACGAAATACGCAGACAAATTGCCACAGTATGATCGAGTCGGTAGTGACTCAAAATCGGCATCTGAGACATATGTCGAACGACAGTTTGAGCCTTCACAAAGCATGCCTGAGCAGGAGAGTTCTTTCTGATTATAAAGTAATTCATGGTCATCCAAAGTTTTACTAATATAATGAAGCCGTCGTAGATAAGATTCGTGTCATACAAGTTGTGAGTCATTATCTTTATAGATGGATTATCAAACAAAATTTGAAGAACTTGTAAAATTAACCTGCTTTTCCGTGTTGATCCCTAGGACGCAATATTACCCTCAGTGGCCAGAACTCTAAATCTCAACTTTGCGACAAAAACAATCATTCGGCATCATACATGAGTCGAGGGTGTCAGAGTAAGCCTTATGCCGGTTCGAGACTGCTAAACAATGCTGAAAACAATATTCTCCGACTCTAAGAATACGATAACCTATAAAATTAGGAAAAATACTTTTAACTGCCCAGTGGTCAAAAAATTTAATCGCAAGTATACTGTCACTTTTACTCATATCATAGCCACTTGTACTATTCAGTAGCATACTGAATAGTACAAGTGCTAGTACTAAGTGATTAACTATAACTTTCAGGCAGCTTTTAATAACATCAATCTTTGCTGCAGCACGCTAAACCACACAGATCAGGCTTAGAACAACCATTATAAGAACATTGCAATCGAGACTGCCAGCAAAGCTAAATGCTGACATCGCTCCCACTATGCTGTAGCCATTTTTAAACGCTTGTACTTGCAGTGAAAGAGCTATCGACAGTGGTGACTTAATTGTTGGAGAAAGAGACATGTTTGATCTCTTTACTACTGCAAATTGTACACAGAAGTTTAAAATATAGATGCTACCAAAAATATGCAATTTGAGCCATTTAGAATATGCGTTGCGAGTCCTAGTTGATCAAAGAGGTGAGAAACTATGCTGTGTATGATAAGCAAATGCTTACGAAGGAAAAATATCAATGAGACGTTCATGATTATGTCAAAGATGGTATCGATACTTTATACGATTGAAGTAGGCACTGAGCAACAAGAGCAAGTTAATCATATTTATTGACTTGGTCAGCGCGCTTAAGCTCTGCTTTCCCACGGTTTGTCGGAGGACAACATGACCGCTGTGTATGTGTTGCTACATTAACTCCTGTTTGCTGTATCTTGAATCGTACTAGCATTACTGTGGATTGCTATACGTGCAGTGCAGTCTCTTTCAGATATCCATTGACACACCCTCCGACATTGATTCTTCTTTCACAGAATCGCATGTCGGACCTTCAACAATATTGTGCGTCGACTCGTTTTTCACCTCATCTTCGCACAGATGATCAGCCGAGGTTTCATCTGGGGTCACTTTGGTATGTTTGTTTCTTTCAATCGTGTTTGAGATGGCGCGAAACTGCTTGTACTCATCTTTTGAGAGTAGGGATTCCTGAATTTCAGCAATCTCGACCTTTTTTGGCTGAATGATGACAAGATATCCATCGGACTGGTGCTGCAGTTGATGTTGCGTTAACATGAGATAAAGCACTCAGTGATGACAAAAACCATATCATGACAAGCAAACTAACCTTTCGCTGTATAAGTTGCGGATCTTTCAGTAGACGTTCATTCACTTCAATCAACGAGCCACGAATACAGCTATAAAGTGAATATTCTCTACCGCTTTTGCTCTTAAGATTGCAAATCATCGTGTTCGGCTGCATAAAGCGGCCACCCTTTTTCTTCTTGCCAGACACGCGGCTCTCGAGCACATTCTGCGCGAACTCAACGCTCAGAAGTTCCTCCTGCATAATTGGATGAGATTCGGCTACTCCCACAACACACAGACGATTAGAGTGCATGTGCACATATTGGTCCTCCATAGGTTTGCTCATCGTGTCACATGAGAACATTTCCGTGTAGTAGCGTTCAATCTGTTCTGTCAGTCATTAGTGTCCCATCTACAAATACCTCAAGCATCAAACATCTTACCATTGTGCCTCTGTGCTTGGAGGTGACAGCGCCTGCATCCGAAGTTTGAAACTGCTCTTCGGCGCGTCGAATGGCCTGATCGCGAATAAGTCGACGTTGAGCTGCTACCGAATGCGTGTCACTATCATTCACTTCAGCTCTATCCCCAAACAAATAAGTTTGTATTGATTGAGAGACATAGATTTGGCATCAAGTGGCGCACCTGCCATGGGCAAATTTGCAATTGGGGAATGGGCATCCACCGGGCTTGTCAAAATGCTTGCAGAGAGCACTCTTGCGCAGCCGCTCACGTCTTTCCACCCGACGCTTTTTAACCACTGGAAGCTGAGACGAAGACGAAGAATGTGAAGCAACATCTACATCGGGAATGGCTGAGGGCACTGCAGCTGAAAGGGTTTCCGACATCGATAAGTACAAGTAGCAGTGAAGGCCAATCAGTGGCCAGAACAACAATAGGTAAAAGTTATTGTCTATTATGTCTAAATGTCTATCTCTGTGGATGATTCATTACCTACTTGTCTACAACAAACAAGCTGTTCATTCTACCTAGGGGATTTCGCGAAATGGTGACCAATCACGGTAGCATGAGTCAAACACTTTGTCGATGCATTCGTTTGCCTACAAAAAAGACAGTGCCAACTAAAAAAAATTGTACTACAGATGTCAAAGTCTTACACATACCGTGCCTGTGCACGCCTCATTTTGCTCGATCGAAAGTGCAGCCCTTCGCCGAACACATAGCTATGGTCACAAGACAGAACCAGTTCCGAAGTCAGCTTTTGTATGCCCAATAACTTGCAGAGTTGCTCATTGGAGTACCTGATGCTGTTTGCTGACGTTAAAGTTTTTGCGGAAGAACTCATATTTCCAATTGCAGTCGCCACTAAGCGCTGCTGCGCGAATCTACTCCATCATCCAACCTCCTTTTAACGCTCCTTTTTGACGCTAAGTATGCAAGCTACATGACATTACCTCACTGCATGCGTGATGCTCACATTTATTCCAGTCAATTTTGTTGCGACAATGGTCGAAAGCATGAATGAGCTCGTGTGCCATAGTGCGATCCATCCACTCTTGGTCAGGTATATGATTTTGGCAGAGCACAACCTACCACAAAGCAGCCGCAACAATTCAGCTCCTACGCCATCACTTTTGCATAAAGATATCCACCCACGCCTGGTTTGCCCTCGTCATCCACGTGGAACCCTCCATTTATATTTTTATCGCAGCTAATACTGGAAAAAAAGCCTTTTCTAATGGTACATCCCATCTTCTCCATGGTGTCCATCAAAAACATCACTCGCGAGCCTACATTATTTTGAAAAAGATTATCCCAGTGATTCTAAAATGAATTTTATAGGCTGCAGCTCACTCACAGTTTTTCTGAGAGCTCTCCCGCATCATCTCGCATTTTTGATGTTGTGTCTCCTCCTCGCTGATGAGCTGACTTTTGCCCTGTAAAGTATTCCTGAGTGACTCCATTGCATTTAGCTACAAATATGCACTTTGGTGTGGCACCACTGATTTTTATGAAGAATATTTTAACGATACCCCTTCAGTTTGACGATTTCGTAATTTCAAGTGGGCAGAAATTCACGATACTGTACATTTCTGACCAAGTAGCTGAAAGATGCTGCCAAGCTACGATGAGAAGGTTAGTGGAGCAATTGCTGAATTGAGGAGGATTCGGTGACTCGAGTAGCGGTGAATTTGCACAAGTTAGGCTAGTTAGATAATAGACAGCATGTACCTTCAAATACGTCGTGCAAAAGGTGATTGGGGAACAACAAAGCAATAGAGTGCGGTGCGGGATCACGAGGGGGTTGGAGGTGAAAGAAGGCGTGACCTTGTAAGGATTTGCAGCATGGGTTGAGACGGACTGCTACGCCTTTGAGGTCTAATCCAACGTATTATAATAACTGCTGAGAACAAGGAACCAGTAATTGTTAACTAATGAAGCATATGTGATGTATATGGTGCAAGACAGTCTATTCTGCACCACCGAATCTATAGCTTATATAAAATACGAACAAAAGAGCAACTCGAAAAGCTGTGATACTTCTAATTTTGCAATCATCCATCGTAGATTTTGTCTTGTGGTAGAAATATCGATTGATCCACGGTAGATGGTGTCGCTAAAAGCAGCTCATTTCTTAAGTACGTGTACAACATCTCATGTAAATGGCAACCGTGCTCTCATTACTTGCGTGCGGTGAGCGTTTATTGATGATCCGACAGCTCGATGCCTCATCAACTGCTTGCTTCCATCTCTCTTATAGAAGCTGCATCCTGGCCAATAGGAATAGCCGCCACGCTCCGGTGGAACAAGTCGCACATTTGCAGCCATGACGACAAAATTCCCAAATCCTGGCAAATATACGCTTCTGCAAACGTCGTCTGCATGCTCAATATGTATACCTTGACCATCAATTATCCAGCTAAGACTGTATCAGCACCGTTAAGGTTTGTGCGTGGTCAAAGTATATATCGTTTGGTCCAAAGCACGCGCGACTCAACAATTTAGAAAAAAAAATGCTCAAGAAGGAGGACGTTGGGGTGTACGCTTCAGAAAGCGAGTGGCTGCAATGAGCGAAACACAATCACATCGCTCTCTCTCTTGCGTTATGAAGGGGCAAGATCCAAGCGGAAAGATTCGGGTACTGATGCGATATCGGTACTAATTTCTGGTTGCTACCGCTTTTAAATACCGCTGACCGATTTTGGCGCTAGTATCAAAATGTGATGCCAGTCATACCAGTTTTTGTACCATCCGTTATAATCTCGGTTTCGAGCTGTACAGATGTAGTATTGGCATTGATAGAAAACTATTGTGCTATTCGTCGTTAATCTTGATACTCAGGTCATTGATATCGAACTGGTCCCAACAAGTGATACTGCAACGGAGGCTTTGACTCAAAGAATCCGGTTATCGCCGCACAGAGGTTGAGCTCTTCTGCTCTACCCAGGAGTTGGGCGAAAAGCCTATCAAGTGACCCAGTACCAAAAATTTCAATATTGGCATCTTTAAAAAAAACGTCTAATAAACTAATGTTACACTACATATGTTTAATTGTACACGATAACACATCTATATGCGCCGCACAATAGTAGGCTAACAGTCTACGTGTCCTGCAGACCTCGTCTCCAAGTTCCCATCGTTCTCACTTAGTATCAGTGCTTTGGTACCATTGAGATTTGCATATTTACACAAAAGGGCAAATGTATGTCTTGCAATTACACCGTATCTGTATAATCTTACCAAAGCGTAGCTTGTTAGCACAGTCTAATTCGGTACATACCTTGTTACACCATTACCCCAATAATGTGGATCACGCTAGGGTACAGGTATCCAAACTCTTCAAGGAAAATTGAACACCCATTTCGCTTGGGTCTCGCTTCATTCATTGCACCGAACAGTGCCTGCACTTACGGGCCTTGTCCACATATCTTTGTATCCCCAAGACTTTTCAAGCCCCCTTAAGAAATCGTAGTCCATGCGATAAACAACCTAGCAGCAATCCTCGGTTGAGAGCATGGTATTTTGGATGAGATCGGTCCGAGTGGCTACCTATGGTACCTCCGCCCTCACGGAGAGACATACGGCAGGGTTGAACACTAAGATAAAGAACGTTTTTCTACACTTCATCTCGTATCTGCACGAATCGCACACTGTATGCTCATTCACCAGGGTAGTGTCGCGCCGTACCGCCGTGAATGACCTGGATCAGCGAGCCGTGCATGCCTGTCTGCTTTACAAGGATCGCAACGACTTTTGCAGATTTACTCATGTCGTGATCATCGATTGATTCCTCAAAATTTGCTCGGCGTTTCGAGGCGGGACCCTGAAAAATTATACTTGTGGTATTTATGCTCACACAAAGTGCAAAATGAGCGCTCAAAATTTGCACCGCCTGCAGTTTTCTTATCCCACAGGTCACCACTCCTTAGGAGTAACACCTGTGCCTAGAGCTGTCGCTGAAGGTAAACTGTACGCTGGATAATCAGTAAATACAGTTTTCATTTTGAGCGAAAGAGTCTCTTTACCTTGGCTAAGGTTTGGTATACTCTTGGAGGGAGCAGATTGCGATCCGCAGCATTCGTACTGGTTCTTGTAAAGAACGTAAGGTCGGTGACCTTAGCTCAGCTTCCTCTAAGCAAAGAGCTACGGCAGCCCCGCTGCACTTGGTAACACTCGTACGCCTGAGTCGTTACGACTGATTCTCGGTGAGAAGGAGCAATTCTTCTATTTGCCCCAGGGCACGCAAAATAGACTTATTAAACTGATGCCCCTGCTTGGCCCTGAGGGCGTGCAACACCTTGCTTCGCAAGAATCCGAAGCGATATGCGGCGTCTAGAGACGCTTTCGAACCGTGAAAATACGTGATCTGCTAAAGCTTCTAGAGAAGATGACGACGGCATCAACTGCGTCCATGACGCCACCGTCGACGACGGATGATTCCTTTTGATTCAAGACGCTCATGGTGAGTGGTCAGAACTTTGAGGGTAGGGATGGAGAGATTCTCCTGTTCTGGATGAGAGAGGCCGAGATGGCAGTGCATGGCGCTAGCTATCTCCAAGCTCAAAGGCCAAGCGCTAGAATGGACACTAACGTGCTGTGCTTCGGTTGAAGCTGCAATCCCCGTCTGGAATGAGCTGAAGTGTTATGTTTTGCGAGTATTTTGCCGCCTAGTCAGGCATATCGCGTGAGGTCGCGTTTCCTAGCTGCCCGACAGAAGTGGGTGGACTTTGTCCAAGAGCTGAGAACTCTCATTGCCGAAATAGCAGCCGATCCTCTCCCCGAGGCGGTCGTAGTGACCGTTCTTATGGAGGGCCTCCGCACTGGCGTGGCCAGAATGGAAGTCTTCCCTGTGCATCCGTCTTCTTTTGAAGAAGCGGTGAATGTGGTATTAAATGTCGATTTCAACTTTAAGTCGGCGTGACTTGACTGAAATGCACACCCTCAAAGCTCGTCGTATGAGCCTGAGCCAATAAACCTCAGCTATGCTGAGAAAGAGGAGGGAGAGCCCCGAGCAGCCGAGCAGCGTGTGATCACCCGACGGTGTTTTGTCTGTGGGGATACCCGTTATCTTCAGACTGGTTGTCCCCTGCGCATGACGCGTAAAGGCTCGTCAAACTGACGTCCCGATTCTGACCAGTCTGGTCTATCATGGGGGAAACGACAACACCCAGTAGGCGCGGGGCGACCAATGGAGGAGAATTGAGTTCTGTTGTGCCTCAAAAAGGTAGAGGGCAGCAGGGCCCAGCTCCGAAGTGCTCCGTGATCTTGATCACGGAACGTGTACGCAAGCCGGGCTTGCTGGTCGCAAAAGCGACCGTGAAGGGCCTTGAGAAGCCATGGAAGATTTCTAGTGATTTCGAGGCGTTGGACAATTTTGATCGACGCTCCACGATTGAAGGAAGTCAGCTGTATGCTGAGGCGCTGGATGCGCGATTGAGTGACACCGTCAGTGTTCGCTTATCGACGGGGACTTGTGTCACTGTGCCGAGGGTTCCTGTGGACCTCGGTGTCAAGTTTCTTGATTTTGATAGCGTGGAACGCTGCTTAGTCTTAGACTTGGATGCAAGGTATGACCTAATTTTGGTATGGCATGGTAGGAACACCATGAGCCATGGATTGATTGAAGGTCAAACACCTTGCGCATGTCTTCTGATGGGGCTTTTGTGAGCCATGAACCCCCCTCTGCTAGGAAGCGGAAGCGCTTTAGCGCGAGCACTGAACCGGGACGGAATATGTGCTGGATATTGGAGTATCCAAGTTGTCAAACACCAAAGGTTTTTTGGACAGGAGTCCCGGGCGTGGCTCTCGGGCTGAAGTGGAGTGGCACGTAACCCTGAGCACTGCTTACGTTACGACGCAGTTGCTGTTTTCGGCGCCGACGAGATCGGCCTTTGAGCGGATTCCGCTGAGGTCAAGACCATTGTGGACTGGCCGGTTCCAAAGGAATTAATCAGTGGCTTGACCTCGCCAATTACTTGCACAAGTATAGCGCAAATTATGTGGAAATAGCACGGACATTGTCGAATCTCCTAGAGAAGGATGCGGAATTGTGTTGGGACACCGAGCATCGAGAGGCTTTTGACGGGGCCAAAGACAACCTCTTACATACACCAATACTAGCATTGCCAGACCCCGATCGTCCTTTTAGTATCGTCTGTGATGCTTCGGACTTTGCCATCGGCTGTGCACTGCTGCACGCAAACGACGAGGGGAGAGAGCTGGCGATCGTGTTCAATTCTCGCCAGCTTTAGGCTGCGGAGAGGAACTACCCAGTCCGCGATAAAGAATTACTTGCGATGAAGTATTTTTCAGGGTGCACCTGCTTGGCTCAAAGCCGTTTGTGATCTACACAGATTATGCGTCGTTACGCACTGCGACTCAGTCGCCTCACCTCTCGCAGAGAATGGCCAGGTTGCTCTGTGACGTCGTTAGTGACGGATTTTATCCGCGCCGCATACGCGGT